TCTGAAATACCTGAGTTTAGTACGCCGACATCGAAAATCTCTTTTATGCAGTTCGTTGGTGAGATAACCTCGACGCCACCCAGTACTGGGGCGGGAGTTTGGGAGTATCGCCATAACTTGCATAATGGATGCTTTTCGAAGGTTGAGGTAGATGGTTTCCGAAGGTTTCTTGGTTATGTGTTGAAGGATGGATACAGCTGGATGTAGGAATTGCTAGTTTGGGTGCGATATTATGCTTCCCCTGTATCCCCAACACCTGATTGCATAACCGGAAAGATTCGGGAGTTTCATAGGTGGGAATTCTAGTAGCTCTAGTTCTTCTTCCACGAATATTGGTTTGAGATTGGGATTTCTTACCGATTATTCGTTCTTGATCCGTACCTTGTTGATTTATTTCTCTACCTTAATTCTACGTGGCTTCTCAATTTATGGATATGTGACCATTTCAAGAGGAATGCATTCGTTCATTTTGTTCGGATGTGAAGACTATATGTTGCAATTTTCATTCCGTTGGATTCAGCTTCAATATTTATCTGTCAATGTGCTAATGGTGGTCAACCTCTTCAGGATGGCTCCTCCAACGCGCACGACTCCGAATCCTGATCCGCCACCACTTCCACCTCCTCCAGAAGCATGGCAAGCTGTGATGGCCGCAACCAATGCAAACACACAGCTGATCATGCAAATTCTCCAAGAGCGCAATCAAGGCAGTCATGGGAATCAAGGCAGCAATCAGAGTCACTTTGCTACACTCAACCAGTTCCTTGCTAACGGACCAAAGACTTTCAGCAATTGTGTTGAGGCAACCAATGCTGACGATTGGCTTGTGGATCTGTGTAAGCATTTCGAGTGCAGTAACGTCAGGCCTGAGGACTTTGTTAAGTTCGCTTCCTTCCAACTCAAAGATCAAGCTGCAGAATGGTTCCAGCAGTACAAGGACTCCAGAGGTGGACGTGTTATCACTTGGGATGATTTCCGTCGAGATTTCCAAGCTCATCATATTCCCCAGAGCGTGGTTGAAAGCAAGCGTGAGGAATTCCGCAATCTGAAGCAAGACTCTTTGTCTGTCTATGACTACAACAAGTTGTTCCAGAAGCTTGCCCGCTTTGCCAAGCAGGACGTCCCTGATGAGAAGAGCATGATATATCAGTTCAGGGGTGGTCTCAGAGAAGAAATTCAGCTCGCTCTTGTCCTCTTTGAGCCCTTGAGGTACAATGAGTTCTACAACATGGCACTGAAGCAAGAGGCTGCTCAGTTGAGGTGTGATGCTTCCAAGAAGCGAGTCAGAGATGTTACTCCTTCTTCCTCTACTCAAGTGGCCAAGAAGCAGAAGTATTGGCTTCCTCCTCCTTCGTTCCGTCAGCCGTATCAGCAGAAGAGCAAAGGTGGCAGTGGTTCTTTCCATCCACCCAACCCTGGCTTTCAGAACAAGACTTCGTCTCAAGCTCCAAGATCGAGTGCTCCGTATCACCGTCTGCTTTCAGAGGTCACGTGCAACAAGTGCCAACAGAAGGGTCACTATGCCAACAAGTGTTTCAACCAGAGGCGTCTTCCTCCTCCTCCTCCTCCTGTCAGATCGGCAAGTACAGCTGTGGTCAAGCATAACCCCAAGCATGCCAAGGTCAATTTGATGAATGCAGCTCAGGCAGAGGACTCGTCAGATGTGATCATGGGTAACCTTCCTGTTAATGATATTCCTGCAAAAGTTCTTTTTGACACGGGTGCATCGCATTGTTTCATCTTGAGACCTTTTGCATCTAAGCATGATTTTGTTACTCAAGTGTTGCCGAAGCCGTTGGCTATCGTTTCTCCGGCCTGTCAAATGACATCTCGAGTATGCGTTCCGGATGTTACTATCACTTTGGGTGACTATAAGTTCTTGTCCTCTCCAAATGTTCTTGGTGACTCGGATATTGATCTTATTCTCGGAATGGATTGGCTTTCTAAGCACAAGGCTCAGCTTGATTGTGCAACCAGGCAGATTCAATTGACTCATTCGTCTGAGGATGTTATTGTCTTTGCCGCTCGTGATGATACTATCCGTCTGTTTTCTCTCAATGAGAAGGGTGAATTGGATGCCATCTCTCAAATTCCAGTCGTTTGCGAATATCAAGACGTCTTTCTAGAAGAGCTCCCAGGAATGCCTCCGCACCGGCCAGTTGAATTCGTTATTGAACTTGAGCCTGGCACAGAACCTGTGTGCAAGCGTCCTTACAAGCTCGGACCTGAAGAGTTGAAGGAGCTGAAGAAGCAACTCGATGAGCAAGAAAGAATGGGTCTCATCCGGCCTAGTTCTTCTCCGTGGGGTTGTGGGGTTCTTTTTGTGAATAAGAAGGATGGAACGGACGGACTTTGTGTTGATTACCGTCCAGTGAATAAGAAGACCATCAAGAACAAATACCCACTTCCCAACATCAATGAGCTGTTCGAACAACTCAAAGGTGCTCAAGTATTCTCCAAGCTTGATCTCCGTATGGGTTATCACCAGATTCGCATTCGTGAAGAAGATATTCCCAAGACAGCATTCAGAACAAGCTTTGGTTCATATGAATACACTGTCATGTCTTTTGGCCTCGCCAACGCTCCTCCGACGTTCTCTCGCATGATGAACTTCATCTTCAATGCCTACACCAATGACTTTGTTTTGGTCTATCTCAACGACATTCTGGTTTTCTCCAAGAACAAGGAAGATCATGCCAAGCATTTGCGTTTGGTTCTTGATAAGCTCAGAGAACATCAGTTCTACGCCAAGTTCTCCAAGTGTGAATTTTGGCTCGATGAGGTTCTTTATCTTGGCCATATCATCTCTGCCAAGGGCATTGCCGTGAATCCCGAGAAGGTGTCCGCAATTGTGAATTGGGAACCTCCTCAGAGTGTGAAGCAACTCCGCAGTTTTCTTGGTCTCGCAAGCTATTGCCGAAGATTCGTTGAAAACTTTTCCAAGATCGCGAAGCCTCTCTCAAATCTTCTTCAGAAGCACGTCAAGTACGTTTGGTGTCCGGAGTGTGATATTGCTTTCAACACTTTGAAAGAGAAGTTGATCACTGCCCCAGTTCTGACTCCACCTGATGAATCCAAGCCGTACGAGGTCTTTTGTGATGCCTCTCTCCAAGGTCTTGGCGCAGTATTGATGCAAGAGAAGAAAGTTGTTGCTTATACATCTCGCTAGTTGAAGCCTAATGAGAAGAACTACCCCACTCATGATCTCGAGTTGGCGGCAGTTGTGCATACTCTTTTGACTTGGAGACATCTTCTATTGGGAAGAAAAGTGGACATTTTCACTGATCACAAGAGTCTCAAGTACATCTTCACTCAGCCTAATCTCAACCTCAGGCAAACTCGATGGGTCGAAATGATTCAAGAGTATAATCCAAGTATTGAGTACACTCCAGGCAAGGCTAATGTGATTGCTGACGCTTTGAGCAGGAAAGCGTATTGCAACAGTCTGATTCTTAAGCCTTATCAACCCGAGCTTTGTGAAGCTTTCCGCAAACTTAATCTGCAAGTTGTTCCTCAAGGATTCCTCGCCAACCTTCTAGTCTCTCCTACCTTAGAAGACCAGATTCGCCAAGCCAAGCTTCTTGATGCTATGGTGAAAAAGGTGAAGATTGGGATTGCCAAGAGTCAGTCCAAGTACAAGTGCTACCGCCTTGATGACAAGGACACTCTCTTCTTCGAGGATCGTATTGTGGTGCCCAAAGGCGACCTCCGTAAAATGATCATGAACGAGGCTCACAATTCTCTTCTCTCCATCCACCCTGGGAGCATGAAGATGTATCAGGACCTTAAGCAAGCTTATTGGTGGACTCGAATGAAGCGCGAGATCGCTCAATTCGTGAATGAATGTGATGTCTGCAGAAGAGTGAAGGCAGAACACCAAAGGCCAGCTGGTCTCCTCCAACCTCTTGCCATTCCAGAATGGAAGTTTGACCACATTGAAATGGACTTCGTGACTGGGTTTCCAAAGTCCAAGCGTGACCTCCTCAACTCCATTTTATCCATCAGTGGCCTCCTTCGAGCTCCCACCATCAGCACCTGACACGGCTCCGCCACCTCCCCCCACCACTGCACACCTGAGTGAGGAGAGTGATGGAAGCAAAAAAGGAAAATTTTGAGCCACTAACGAGTGGGTTCCATATGTCATAATAAAATAGGGCTAGAAAGTGGCTATTTCTTAAGTTGGAGGCTATTTTGGGGCTGAAAACGTAGGGGAAGCCCCTAGTTGGTCTGCAGGTTATTTTAGGGGCTATCGCCAGGACAGAGATCAGGTGACATGCACGTTTGCATGTCACCATGTGCCTTGCGGCCGAAATTTAAATTTAAACATTGCGAAAAAATCTAAAAAAATCATGCATATTCACAGCACATATTAAGATAACCCCTAAAAAATTCAGATCAAAATTCAAAACATACATCGAGAAACAAAAAAGAGAAACTCAGATGTGAATAGCCTACAGAGAACCATTCGCGAACTATTCATGATAGATTTCTCTCTTTTTTTTCTCGATGTATGTTTCGAATTTTGATCTGAATTTTTTAGGGGTTATCTTAATATGTGCTGTGAATATGCATGATTTTTTTCAGATTTTTTCGCAACGTTTAAATTTGAATTCCGGCCGCAAGGCACACGGTGACATGCAAACGTGCATGTCACCTGATCTCTGTCCTGCCAGGAGATGCTTGAGAGGGAATCCCGTGCATTAACTATGGCTTTTGCCACATAAGCATGCCACTTGTGGACCCACAGTTCACCAAACCACCCCATCCCCCAAAGGGGTTCAGTGATATGGTATTTGGGCTTGAAGGTGCGAACTAAAGGGTTTTCAGTGAGGTGTGCAAAGTAGACTCAAGCAATAACACCAGAAGTAGAGTTATGAAAAAAACAATAAACCAACATATATCACTAATGGTTTGCTATCTATGCATTTTCATCAAACAAAAATGTTTGTCTCATATGACATTATTATTATGCAGGGGTTACAATAGGATTTTTTGGCCTAATGGTTATTATCATGGCCACTATCTTCTGGGGACAATTGATATGTCAAAAGAGGAAACTGAGTAAAGTCAAGCTTGAGTATTTTCGCCAGCATGGAGGCATGATTTTGTTTGATAAGTTGAAATCAGAGAAAGGTCTTGCCTTCAAGGTGTTTTCAGAAGATGAGCTAATACATGCCACTAACAACTTTGACAATAGCAGAATACTTGGAAGAGGTGGGAACGGAACGGTTTATAAAGGGATATTAAAGGACCAGATGTCGGTTGCAGTTAAAAGATGTGCATTGGCTGATGAAAGGCAAAAGAAAGAATTTGGACAAGAGATCATTATTTTGTCCCAAATCAATCATAAGAACATAGTGAAACTCTTGGGTTGTTGCCTTGAGGTTGAAGTTCCAATTCTAGTATATGAGTTTGTCCTAAACGGTACACTATTCGAGCTTATCCATGGCAAGAACCACCTAAAAATCTCCTTCAACACTCTCTTAAGAATTATTCATGAAGCAGCCGAAGGACTCAGCTTCCTGCATTCGTATGCATCTCCTCCAATAATTCATGGTGATGTGAAAAGTTCCAACATCTTGCTTGATAATAACTATATGGCCAAAGTGTCAGACTTTGGAACCTCCATACTAGCCCCGTCTGACAAAGAGCAGTTTGTCACAATAGTTCAAGGTACTTGTGGTTACCTTGATCCTGAATACATGCAAACATGTCAGCTAACAGACAAAAGTGATGTGTACAGTTTTGGAGTTATCCTTTTAGAGATTCTCACAGACCAGTTGCCACTAAAGCTCGAGGGGTCTGAGACGCAAAGAAGCTTGTCATTGGTTTTCTTGTGTGCTATGAAGAACAATAATCTAGATGATGTGTTGGCGAGCCATGTGAAAAGCGAAGAGAGCATGGAATTGCTGTCAGGACTTGCAGACCTAGCAAAGGAATGCCTAGATATGCATGGTATCAATAGGCCCTCAATGAAAGAGGTTGCCGATGAGCTCAACAAATTGAGGAAGCTTTCAGTGCATCCTTGGTTACAACTTGACATGGAGGCAAATGCAGAAATCCTTCTTGGTGGAGAGCCAACCAGCGGTCATGAAATTGAATTAAGTGGGTATACTATAGGAGAAAATGAGAACCAACCTATAAACCCAAGAAGTTCTTATTATGCTAAGTGACTAAGACATGCACGATATCCATTGAAGGATGTGCCTTCCATTCTTGAGTTCTTCACAAACATCCCTTTCTAAACATTTTTCTCCTCGCATCTGCAACCGGGATTAAGCTTGTTATGATGTGCACTTTATTTTCTGGTTAGCACTGTTGCATCTGTGTGTATTTTATTCGGTTTTATTCGATCCATATGTACTTCTCACACACTGTTATCTATGGAACATATTTGAATCCACATGTTATATATTGTTTTTTGCGAAAATCCACATGTTATATATGTATATGTATATAGGTGAAACTGTGGATAGCAAAACATACTGTGCTCACAACCATCGTTGCCGCACATGCCTGCTCCGTGATCCGTGCGCATGAAAGAGGGGTAGAAATATGCGTGCTTTTACTCAATTTCTAGCCCACTTCACCCAGCGATTCCCTGATCCATTTCTGCAGCGGGCGAAGCCTTTCGTGCAGAGAGATGTTGCTGGTGTCAGAGTGGGTGGTCCAGTAGGAGGCACCGAATCAACCGGTGAAACTTTTGGCGCCCCATGGAATTTATGTGGTCCGTGACCTGCCACTGTTTTCGAGGGTCCCATCATTCTCTCGCTATGGTGGAGGGTAATTAAAATCACGCTCGATATTTTTCTCTCCCGCTGGCCAAATCCAGCCATGAGGACACCCTTTGTCCCCTTCTTCCTTGACATTTTTCTGCCCCTCACGTCCCATCTACTCCCCCGATCTGGAGCACCAGCAGCGCCACGAGCCCCACGCCGTCGCCCGACCTGCTCATCCCTTTCCCTCCTCTGGTTGCCCGAGCCGAGGCCGACGGCGAGCTGCAGGACGTCCGTGAGTGTTGGAATCCCTTTGCATTTTGACAAACTCAGGAGGGAAGACTTGCAACCCCTTATTGATGCCCTTCTGGCTAGAATGGCTGGTTGGAGGGGTAAATTACTATCATTATTAAGTAGAGTCACTTAAGTGAAAACTTGTCTGGCCAGCATCCCTATCTATATGTTGTCCTTTTTTAAATTCCCCAAATGGGCAATTAACTTGATCAACTCCCAACTAGCTAATTGTCTTTGGAGTGATGAGGAAGGAAACCAAAGAATTCACTTAGCTAATTGGCAATTTGTGTGTATGAGAAAGGAATATGGAGGTATGGGGGTTCCAAAACTACAGGATTTGAACATGTGTTTAATATGTTCTTGGATAAAAAGATATATTTTGAGTGAAGGTTCTCTATGGAGGAGAGTTATTGACTCCAAATATAATACTAAGAGACGAAATATTCTCTGTTGTAATGACCCTCATCCATCTCAATTCTGGAGAGGTGTGATGTGGGCTATGAAAGCAGTTAAACTTGGATATAAATGGGCTGTAGGAAATGGTAGATCAATTATGTTTTGGGAAGATATTTGGTTTGGTAACTCTCCACTTGCCACCCAATTCTAGGATTTGTACTGCATAGCTAATGATAAAAACAAGACCATAGCAGATACTTGGGATGGAGATACCCTTATAATTTCCTTCAGACGAAATTTTGATGATGAGCTAATGCAACAATGGTTTGATTTAGAATCAGTGGCTAGGTCAATAACTTTTACTGAACAGGAAGATAGTTTGATTTGGCAATATGAATCAAAAGGAATCTATTCTTCTAAGTCACTGTATGCTATTGTGAATTTTAGAGGGGTTTCAGCCCATTTACACACCTGCTGTGTGGAGCTTAAAAACCCCACCCAGGATACTGGGTTTCCTTTGCTTTTTTCCCAAAATAAAATTATGACATGTGATAACCTGAGGAAAAGAGGCATACCAAAGCCCCTGGAATGTGTCCAATGTAGGGAGATAGAATCAGTTCACCACTTGTTCTTTGACTGTGTGGTTGCTAGGTTAATGTGGAAAGAGGTAGAGATAATCTTTGGTAGAAATTTCCATTCCTTTCTAGAATTAGCGGCCTACTGGCTCTGTAATAAGAAATTTGCTCATTTGAATGTGGTTCCCTCTGCGGTCCTTTGGGGATTGTGGAATACTAGAAACTACATTGTGTTTAATAGATCTAAATGGACTTCTATCAAACAGGTCTGGCAGAAAATAAGTACATATCTAGGAGAATGGGTGAAACCGCACGGGGAGCTGCAGGAGGGGCCGATGAAACATTCCAGAGACCATCTTTTAAGAAGACTGAGGTCGCCACTGGAACTGGAACGAGACTGAGATGCCAAGAAGCCACAAATCAGTTCTCCTGGTCTAAATCTGACACGGAATGGCACTTGGGGGGCGCGCTACCCTGGAGCAAATGAAGGAGGATCCAAAGATGGCGGAAGAGATCCATGTGGTCTTCATTCCCATGAGCAGAATTACCAAAAATGGATGTCTAGCTTGTCATGTATTTTGCTGTTCCGGTAGACTGCTGAAAGTAACTGTATTCTGTCGGCACCTATTTGCCTTTTTCCTTCGATGATGTTTGGTACCTGGTGATAGACCAGAAGACCTGTATGCATGTGGTTTCATTTTATGAAAATGGAGCCGGGGGGCTTCCCTTTGATCAAAAAAAGAAAAATTTCCGCCCACAGAATCAATAACATCTAATCACGAACACACGCGACAGAAAAACTGATAGCCAAGGATACGTCTCGTACCCTAAATATTCGTCTCTTTATTGCTTTTCTATTTTTCTCCACATGATGTTACAACTCACGCAGGGCATATGTATATATACACAGCCCAACGCACACGGCCACACGTACAAATCCTAAACGGACTTGTATTACACCTTTTTTTTTGCGCAAGACTTGTATTACACCTTGACTCACGTAGACAATAAACTACTAGGACACGGCTAACCAATCCTAACCAGACTACTACTCCGAGCCCTACACGTACTACAGAAACTAGACCAACTAGTACATAGTAGATCGCTAATCAACTTAGCTACACTAATAAACCATCTTTAACAAGATTATCTAACAACGAGCCCGTCGACTGGTAAGTATTGTGACTTCCCTGGCATGGAGAAATGGCGTCAAGAGCTGCTGATGTCGACGCTCGCCAACATGGTAGACAACCTCGAGACCTTCCGCGACAACGACTTCATCCGCAAGGGTGTGGAGGAGTGGCACTTGTCTGCACAGCAGGCCCACGCTGCTACGAAAAAACAATCACTTGGTCTTCTCGAACAAGCACAGTGATCCATTATGCACCATCGATGAGTCTTTGTTCCAGGCTTCCCCGATCGTCATCGATATATCCATTTCATTTTCATAAACAGTGTCACAAACGCCTTATACGTGCATTTGTGTGATTTGATTTGTACTAAATTAAGTTGTACCCGCATCCTATGTTATCAAAAGAGCATGTTCCGGGATTGTTAAACACTTGATTTTGCGATGAGACCTTATAAAAATTGCAGGGAAAGACCGTGCAAGCTACTACGTCCGTCCTGATTAATTGGTCCTCATTGTATTATGTGCCAAATTTTGACCATACATATAACTAACAAAATGTTCATGCATGTCACCAAAAATTATATTGTAATCACAAGCTAGAGCAAGACAAACCTTTGAGTCGCACACAAGGATTCCATCTTCTTTCATTTTCCTCTTATTTCAACCTAGAATCCAATATATGGTCTCAAAGCATTGTCTATGGATAAACCTTCATGAAACTTGCCATCTTCGGAGTGGTGGATGAAGCTAGACTTGACGATTGAGAAACCAACTTTGTGGAGAAGAATGCGAGCATTCAGTGGTGTTTGAGGAACTTCATGGTTACCTCACCTCTCCAATGGTGATTAATTAGGTTCCTTATGGAAGTGAACATTGAGATAAATCTTCATCTCCTCATGTCTTGACTATCCTTACCCAAGTTATTTACCCATTAGGCGGCATCACATCTAGTGATGCCGTTGGATGAAAAAAATCGTTAAAAACCGCAGCGCATTGGCGAGGAATTGACCTTGTAACGAGTCTCTGGTGAATGCATGTTCCTAGCCACCGGAGTTGACTTGCATTGTGGATTGTAAGGCAGCTTATACCTTATTGAACCAACCAGAGCCACATAACCGAACCGCGCCATTATAGCGAACCGAAGTCAGTCACTGTAGCGAATCAAACCATGGCAATGTAGTGAACCAGAATTAGTTACTGTAGCGTACATTTTTAAAACAAAATGAGGAACATTTTTTCAAAGTTGTATATTTTGAAAGAGTGCAATTGTTTTTGAATTTGTGAACAAACGCCCAAAGACAGGAAACATTTTTTGAAAAAATAAATAAATTTTGAAAGCACGAACATTCTTTGAATGTGTGAACAATCTTTTTAGAAAATCAAAAAAAAATATTGAAGTTGTGAAAATTTATGAAATTCTGAACAAATTTTGAAACCGTTTAAGAAAATTTAGTATGTGGAACAAAAATTGAAAATGCCATGAAATTCCGAACAAAGAAAATTCAACCGCAAACCTTTTTTAAATTCCTGGATTTCTTTTATATGTTCTACTCCTGGAGTACATTGTTTTCTTACTTTTAGTTAATTTTTTGAGGAACTGTATATTTAGTTTTTCTGTGTTTTTCATAAAGAAAAATGTCTAAAGGCCAAACATAGCGCCAGTTGGCCCGCAGCACAAGGTCCCTGGCTGGGCCATGTGAGTGTGGCGCCGCTGCAGCCCACATCTTCCTCCGCTCCACTCCGCTCCGCTAGAAATTACAGAGACGAGCGAGACTAGCTAGGGTTTACACTCTGCTCTCCTCTCCTCCGTCGAGCTGCTAACATTGTTCTACTAACGACATCGGCAAGCGCCTCCACTGGTGACACCTTACCACTGGTGTCATACTAGCGGCGTCGGCAGCTGACGCCACTTAGGACACCTCACCACTAGCATCATACTAGCGGCATCGGCCTATAGCACCACTAACTGTGTTTTACGAACGCGGCTAGCAAGCATTTCTGTACTAGTGAAACCAAATCTTTAACGGTTTTATAACACCTATTTTTCCTTCTCTATGCGATATATAGGTCATTTCAGCAACACACAGGTCGTGACGCACTAACGATGACCTATTTTTTCCTTATTCTTTTATTTTTTATTTCTGTATTCATATTCTCTTTTACTCGTCTTATGTTTTTTTTCATCCTTTATATATTATGTTTAGTTTTCTTCTTATTATTTTCCTAGGTAAATAATTAGTATTTGTATGAGATACAAGAGTACTTGTTTTTGAACACGTGCCAAAACATGAACATTTCTTTTAAGATATATGAACATTTCCTTCACATGTAGGAATCCTTCTGAAATACTCTTATGGATGAACATACAAGAGCATCTATGAAAATATACGTTTCATAAATGCAAACATTTATTTTGACACTTGTGAACATTTTGCGTCACACATGAACATTTCTTTTCGCATGCAGGAACATTTTAAGAATTAGATGAATTTTTTTTAGAACAATTAGATGAAAAATTGTTTTCGTGGACATGGACATATTTTACAATACCTTAACATTTTAATTATGTATTGAATGACTCTATTAACATTTTATATATTTTTTGATGTTTGGTCTTACTTTTAGATCTTTTCTGAGGATTTCTTATTTTTAGGTGATTTTATTGAGACATTGGTTTTTCTGTGTTTTTCAAAACAAAACAAAACAAAAGTGTCTAGAAGGGCCGAGAATAGCGCAGCCATTCCGGGTGTGGGAAGCCCATGTGATGTGAGCGAGACGCTGCTGCAGAAAGGTCGCAATAGAATAGGCCCGCTCCCCATCTTCCTATGCTAGGGTTTACACTCTCTCAGTCTCTCTCCTCTCCTCTCCGGCGAGGTCGAGCGGCGGCGGCGGCGGTTTCTGGCTTCTCCTCCTAACCTACCTTCGTGCTCAAGCCTCAAGGAAGGTACCGCCGTTTCTCGCTGCTCCTCTCCTCAGAGACACCTCCCTCCCTGTTCCTTGCGTTGGTTCCTCGATTCAACATGTACACAGTTTTTATTTATTTTATGATTCGCTTTGTTGATTGATAGGGAAAACCAAACCGATAGTATCATCCATAAACTTAATTATTTTAGTGTAAAGCCATCCTCCATGTAGAAGAAAGTAAGCTTTTTGCAACTGATCGAGTACACTAATTTTCTAGTTGAACAGATATTAGATTGGCATTATATATCTACTAATAACTGCTCCATGTGAACTCAACTCATCGGCTGTGGCTGGCAAAATGATTGATTTCCCTACTTTCATATATGCTCTGCTTTTCATGTTTAGATTCAGCAATCAGTAGTAATTCTGCTTGCCCTTATTCAGCCTCTGCTACTTCGTTATGGTTAATTTAACGATGTGGCCCACCTGTAGCATCATTTTTTCTTCCTAACAATCCAGAGACAGATAAGGTGCTAGCTAGCTACTTCAATAAATCTCCATCATGCTTATGAACAACACACGATTATGTTTTGGACAGAAAGTGCTCAAAGTTCATCGGCAGTTGGAATTCTTCGTAACGAGTGTCTGTCGCCAGTGTGATCTCCGTCTATCTTCACATGGCACTATTTTTTCTGATATATCATAAGTTTGAGTCCTGCTCTCTGAGCGTGCCTGGTTGGACCTAAAGCTCGTTAATGTTGTAAAGCTATTCTCCTAGGTACTACTTAGAAAGTAAATTTTTTGCAACTGATCGAGTACTAGCCTAGGGTTGCAGCAAATACTACTGTAGAATTTCTAGTTGGACATATATTAGATTGGCGTTATCTATCAATAATAACTGCACCCTGTGAACTAACTCATCGGCTGTGCCAAATTTAAATGATTGGTTTCCCTACTTTCTTTCTTGCCCTACCAAGAGCTACAAGTACTAATTCGAATTTGCATATATCCTCTTTTCATCCTATTAATTAGGTGCCTCCAAGTAAATTGTTGGTTCAGATTCAGCACGTGGGTCTTCTTGCGTCAATTCTAGTTCGTTTCTTTGTATTCTCTTAATTAGTTAGTTCATTATTCAGGCTCTGCTACGTATTGTCATTTTTCTTTCTAATAACAATCTAGAGACAGATAACGTGCTAGCTAGCTGCTTTAATAAATCTCCATGCTTATGAACAACACACAATTAAGTTTTGGACAGATACAGCAAAAAGTGCTCAAAATTCATCAGTAGTTGGAATTCTTCGTAATGAGTGTCTGTCACCAGTGTCTCTCCATCTATCTTCACATGCATGCATTATTCTGATATTATATCATTGAAGTTTGAGTCCAGCTCTTTTGGTTGTTTTCTGATATTATATCATACAAGTGCTCAAAGTTCATCAGTAGCCAGTTTAATTTAATGATTTGGCCTGCCTGCAGCGTCATTTTTTTTTGTTTCTAACAATCTAGACACAGATAAGGTGCTAGCTACTTTAATAAATCTCCATGCTTGTGAAGAACACACAAGTTTTGGACGGATACAGAAAATGCTCAAACTTCATCAGTAACATATTCTTCGTAATGAGTGTCTACCGTCAGTGATATATTCTGATATATCATAAGTTTAAGTCCTGCTCTTCGGTTGTTTTCTGAACCTTGATATATATTACCTGATTGGTCCAGCTGAATTTGTTCTGTTCGATGGAGGACCTACCGGAGGCTCTGGTGACAGAGATTCTCAACAGGATCACCAGGACAAGGGATCTCAATTCTCTTTCCCTTGTGTCAAAGCAGCTCTACAAGATAGAGGGGAATCAGAGAGGTGCTATCCGTGTTGGTTCCGGTCTTTGCACTGCTACAAAAGCACTGATATCATTCTGCGCCCATTTCCCAAATCTGCGGAAAGTGGAAATCGATTACTCTGGTTGGATACCTGGACATGGAAAGCAGTTGGACAACAAAGGCCTTTCTGTGTTTTCATCTCAGTGTTCCTCGATGATTGACCTGACCTTAAGCTTCTGCTCACACATCGATGACTCTGGGCTTGATTGCTTAGCGAATTGCAAGAAATTGGTGTCTCTCAGGCTGAACTCCACACCACAAATAACTTCGATTGGCTTTTCTCGGTTGCAGTTGGTTGCACAAGTCTATCTAATCTCCACCTTATTGATTGCGAAAAAATCGACAGTGTGGAGTGGCTGGAATACCTTGGTAGAGATGGATCGCTGGCAGAGCTTGTAGTGAAAAATTGCCAAAGAATCAATCATCACGACTTCCTAAAGTTTTGTTCAGGATGGATGAAGCTCCAGAAGTTTGAGTTTGAGAGGAAACGAGAAAAATATGATCTTCTTGATCCAGGTAATGTGGTCTATGACTCCTCGTACGATGCTCACAGCATGGATGTATACGATTTCTGCTGTGAGAGTTTGAAGGATTTAAGGTTGGCGCATATTGAAACTTTGCCAGAAGCAGGACTTCGAGTTCTCCTAGGGAAGTGTAAAGCATTGGAGAAGCTTTGCCTTCAGTATGTTCGTGCCCTAAATGATAATGGCATTATTGCATTATCTCGGAGCTGCAGCAACCTTAAAAGCATCTCACTTTGGCTCAACCTGCAGCGCTACTCAAGTGATGTCAGCTATTGTGAGACCAAGACGTCATTTACTAATAAGAGCCTTTATGCTCTAGCCCTCAATTGTCGTATGCTTCAGATGATAGACCTCAGCTTTATAGGATGTGATGCCGACTGGCCATCAGAAATAGGATTCACACAAGAGGGTTTTCTGGTGCTCAGTCAGTCCTGCCCAATTCGTGTTCTTGTGCTCAACAACGCCAACTTCTTTGATGACGAGGGGATGAAGGCCCTCTCATCCTCACCTCATCTGGAGACACTCGAGCTTATATTGTGTCATGCGGTAACTGATGCCGGGATGCGCTTCATTGTGCACACCCCATGCTTGAGTAATCTCGCACTTTGGATGTGTCATCACATTACTGATGTTGGAGTGGCTGAACTGAGGCGTGCACATAAGTTAGAGTCTTTGGTCATTGAGTATTGTTGTAAGGTCTCTGTGCAACCTGCACAGGGTGTTGCCAAGTTGGTTCACTACTCCAGCAACTATTCAGATGCCCTTATGAAGAGAATTGGTCTTGGCATCTATTGATGAAGTGGTCTCCAAATTTTTGAGTATGAATTTTCTGCTGAAGCCATTAAGTTGCTCAGTGTGCATCATCCGACCCAGATTTACCTCTCTGAACTTGTTGTTGCCTTCTACGTTTACTGCAATTAGTGATTTGACTTTATGACAGCCTAATGATGAATTCCGGATGGCAACTGATTAATGAAACTTTAATAGTATGCACCACTTGTGTATTACTATCAACCGTAATTCTGGTTGCTTAATTTCTACTCTCTGTAGCCGCTTTGAAACCGGCATAAGAAGGCTCCAAGATTCCCTGTTTCTGCTGTGGAGGCATTATATGACCTTTTGGTGTTATTTGTATTATTTAAGCAAATGTCATGAACCCTTTTTTTATTGCATAAGTGATTTTGAAGACATATATCTGCCTGCTATGTTGGCGTGCCAATTTTGGTATGGATGAATGTAGTTATAAGTCAAGTTTTGATGCTTGTTTTGTTGATATCGACTCTGTTGGAGGATGCCCATCATGTCTTTGCTCTGGACATCCAGCACTCGACAACATTTTCTTATTACCTGCTTAAGGGGGTCGTATCTCTTTTTACCTATCAAGAGTATATATGGTGAGTGTATGAGAATAGCAGGAATTAAGACACCACTTGAGGGATTCATGTGTTTGCTTGGTACAAAGATCCTGAAATTGTAAAACCGCTCAAACGGTTCTGAAATTGAACCCTTTTAGTTTAGTAACAAGACAGCTCGTTGCATCAGTTCAACTCGTAGGTGTATTTGTAGCTTATCAAGATGCCAACTTTGCTTTGCTGCCCATGTGCTTTATACTTGAGCTGAAATGAAACATGCACCTTTCCCTTGCTAAAAGAAGGGAGAACAATTTATTTATTTACATTAGCAATCCGTACAAGTATAGTTTTACTGATTCATTCAATCCACCTGAGGTTGCAACTTTTCTTCGGCTGTTTGTGTGGCCAAGATGCTGCTTGCTTCTAGATGCCTCGAATTCCACAAGATGCAGCCAAACACACAAATTCCAGCATGGCTAGCTTTATTGAATTAAAGAACAATTACATTGTTCACTAGTTGGCCAAGTAAAAAACCCGGAAGTTCATTAGTCCAACTATCGTCACTTACTACAAAAACTAAATTTCGCTAGCTCATGGGCTACACAGTTTGCATAACTGTCTAGGAAAAATTTCGCGGGAGAAAATTAATCTGTCGTTTTTTCCACATGAGAAAATGGAGGATACATGGCGTGTCGGATGTTACACGGCAACCAACACATACGCGGGCTGGTAAGACGTACAGAAAACGCCAGTAACCCACTTGAGTTTGTATTTTTCTTCAGTTTGTGTGGTCAAGATGCTGCTTGGATGACAGGATTTGAGTTCCAGAAGTTGCAGCCATGGCCTCATATTCCCTCGGACACAAGACTTCCAACAAGACTTACGGTCCATCATTTGTATTAAACATAATTCAACACTGAAACATTTATTTCTACCATAGCCGGTGATAGGATTCAAGCACGGAATTTTCCCGCAATTTGTAGTTGCATTGCAGGCAATCATGGAATATTGGTGCGTTAGATGTTACTTCCTCCGTAAAGAAATATAAGAGCGTTAGATCACTAAAGGAGTGATCTAAACACTCTTATATTTCTTTACAGAGGGAGTACAAGCAATCAACAACGTACATGGGCCGGCAGGCATACAGAAAGCGCCAGTGATCCACTTGAGCTTGGATTTTTGCTTCAGTTTGTGTGGTGAAGATACTGCTTGCTGTACAGGCTATGAATTCCACATGACTTCCAACAAGACTTGTATGGTTGCACAGTGCCACACTTCCTCATTTTCCTTGGACACATCTTCCAACAAGACTTGGGGTCCAGCATTCCTATTAACCACAATTTAACACTGAAACCTTATTTTTACCACCAGGGCCCATCACGAAATTTTCCCACAATTTGTCCTTACGCTGCGCCACCAGTAACGAATCCTTGAGCAAAATATTTTGTTCTATGTACTGAAAACTGAAAAGGGAAACATTTAGAGGATAGCTCCAGACAAGCTGCTCCAATTTATTTATGGAATTGCCATAAATGAAGCAGTAACGGGTTACACGATCAAAATATAAACAAGGAAATACTATCGAACCAATCACAGGAGATACCATAAAAAAACTGTACTGCGATGTTAACTCAAGCCCATTTTGCGCATTAGAAGAATGTGAGGCAGCGGCACTGAAGACAAAGGAGGATTGGGAAAGATCCTGTGTCATTTTTCTGCATGGATGAGAAAAGAAAATAGAGCAAAAGATGGCGACACAAAAGATGGAAAGCAGGCAGGCCAGCAACAGCTGCCAAAGGGATGTGCTAGCGTCCGAACAAGTGCTTGGAACTTCCAGTTGAAAGGTGGCAACACTGGAGAATTAGTCATCCAGTAGCAGCTTAACACACTTATTTTACCATCGGTAGAATCTCACCACTGAACCACGTTTAATCGTTGCGTTGCACCACCAGTCACGGTTCTGAAAAGCCAATAAGGGAAACATTAGTACTGTAGAGAACAGCTTAAGACAAGCTGCTTCAATTTCATTAGTGGAATTGCCATACAAGTTTCATGATCAAATAAACAAGAAATACTGATTGTGAAGGACTCGAATCATGCAGATACATGTCTTACACAAATCTTGGAGCAACGGAGAGTCTTCTTCACCACAAGCCTCATTCGTAGGGACCTTGATTTTAGGAGTTCGTCCAGACGATGTTGAGGACTGAGGCACTGCTGCTCCCAGCCAAAACACAACTCCCGTGTAGACAATGTTGACCATGGCAAAAAGAAAGCGGTAGTAATAGTTGAGTTCTTCTGATTATTCTCTAAAGTATGGAAACAGTAGTAATAATTTGCACCCTTTTGATTACTCATAAATTACAAAGGGGCATACCTGGGAATATTGCCATGTCGGATGCTACACGGCGACAACACGTACGCGGGCCGGCAAACGTACAAAAAGCGCCAGTAACCCAATTGAGCTTGGATTTTTGCTTCAGCTTGTGTGGTCAAGATACTGCCTGCCGGTACAGGCTTTGAATTCCACAAGTTGCGACAACTGCCTCATATTCGGTGTACTGTGTGGATACTATTGCAGTGCTGCCTGGAACTAACGGTTGCTTTCTCACGATGGCTTCTTTCAGCTAGGTTATTAGGTGCCTGCCTACTTGGATCTCCAAGAGCAGGTTTTTGGCTGAGGCACATCTCGATAATAATAAAGCGGAGAGTCTTTGCTGTAAATTAGGTTTTCAGTTTTTATTAGTTCATGAAAGTAGTGATGGTCGGGTCTTGTAACGTTCTGAAATGATGATCATAAAGTTGAATTTGAATATGTGTCGCCCAACTGTATCTCCTCCTCCTCCTCCCAACCCTAGCCGCTCCTCCTCCTCTTCCCTTCCTCGCCGCCACCTGAGGCAGCCGCCCGGCAAGCCCGGGGCGCCAAGGATGTGGTGGCGGCGGGGCCTTGGTTGCCCTGCTTCTGCGTGGGGAACCCCGGATCTGGAGCGGCGGCTCCATCGGCAAGGCACGGCCGCCTAGTAGCCGTGCGGACGGTAGATCTGGTGTCCCGGCCGCGCGGGCAGCGGGATCCGGTGGTCGTTGGCGGCCGGCGGCGGCTTCTGCGGCGGTTGGTGCACGCGATCTGGCGCCTCCCCTCCTCCCGATGGTTCTTGGTCGCTGGGCCAACCTGGTCGGGCCACGCTTCCTCTTGGTCGCTGGTTCTGTACAGGAGGCGTTGCTGGTGGCGGGGATCTAGTTCGGGCGAAATCTCTAGCCGGCCATGACCGGCCGCACCGACGGCGACGCCTGAGGGCACCGTTCCCCTCCTTGGAGGCGTCGGTATGGACTGATCTCCTCACTTCATCTTCCCCTAGGTCTCCCGGGCGAAAGCCCTACTTTGTTGGGCGGTGGCGGCGCTCACGGCGCCGTTCCCTTCTTGAAGGCGCCGCTTTGGGAACCTTGTGGTTGGTGGCGCTTGTGTGTGGTGGGCGACGGCGGTGGTGCTGCCCTATCCTAGCATGGATTTCCGTTCGTTGCTTGGAGATGGGCTCGCGTAGGTGGAGTTCATCGTCTGGCGTCATGGTGGCGTCAATGGCGGAGGACCTGCCAAGGCTCGCGTAGATGAAGGTCGTCGTTTGGTGTCGTGGTGGCGCTGATGGCGGAGGACCTGCCAAGGTTGTCACCTCAATCTGCTCTGAAACTGGACCAGTGGAAGATGGCGGCAACGACACATGTGAGTGTGTCGGACCGAGACAAGTGGTCAATGTGAGTGCGTCGGACCGATGGCGGAGGACCTGCCAAGGTTGTCACATCATATGCTTAAAAAGTTGAAGCTAGGTGGTTATCTGAAGATACTATAAACGAAGTGGTTGCTACTGCCTGGGCGAAGGCAAATCTGAGAGGCTTGGGTCCAAGCTTGGCTTCAAGAACCAACGCGGTACACAATGATCTCCATAGTTGGGATAAATCTGTTCTGAAGGGTCCGAAAAATCGTATCAAGAAGTTGAGTAAAGAGCTAGAAAAAATTAGATATGGTGCCTTATCGCCGGCTTCTTGGGCGAGACAAAAGGAATTACAACTGCTTATTGACAACTTATTGGAACAGGAGGAGATCCATTGGCTTCAAAGAGGGCGTGCTAATTGGCTGATGCATGGTGACCGGAACACTTCCTTCTTTCATAAAGCTGCCACTGCACGTAAAAAAAGAAATCTGATTAAAAGGCTCTTGGATGATACTGGGGTCTGGAAGGAGGGTAATCAACTACAAGGTCATATCATGTCCTATTTTGCTCAGTTATTCACTTTTGAACCATCCGAGTGGCAGGCAAGTGTTCTGAACAAGGTGCCCCATAAGGTGTCTGGAGCGATGAATGAAAGTTTATTAATTGCACCGTTTACCCATGAGGAAGTAAAAAAAGGCTCTCTTTAGTATTGGTGATTTTAAGGCGCCAGGCCCTGACG